CACGCACGCCAAGTGGCATTTAATTTGGTGCTCTTTTATAATTTTCCTCTAAATAACCTGGACCATGCATACATGCATGTATATACTCAAGCTATAGTTTATCACCTTGTGCAAGTAAGAATGTAGCAGAGCTTGCTGAAAATGTTTCTTATAAGAAATTTATTGTAGTTGTTAGCAATTTCCTGCCAAACATGTCATGTCCCAGTTTTAATTGCATTGATTTATATTACACAAGCCGATTGAATTTCTTTTTTTTTTCTTTTTCTTCCTCTTCTCATTTTATTTTTCATTTCATTTTTCTGATACTTGTTGGATTTCATTTTCCTGGTCGTTAATCAAGAAGGCAGATTGGCTTCAATGGTCAAAAGTCAAAACAATATCTTGACGAGTAAAAATGTGGAAACATAGATCATCGGGTAAACTAACATCAACATTGATATCCAAATCATGAGAGAGTCACGCCCACTTCTGTACTTACCTTCTATCTCATTATTCCTTTACTGATCATATGTATACTTGTTTCTCCAACATTAATTCTTCCCTTGCGTGTCATTTTCATTAATTCTTTTTTTGCCATTTCTTTTCAATGCTTAATTATTTCTCTAATCTCCATTTTCTAAACTAATCAAATGTACACACACACACACACACACATATATGTTGGGAATAAGCAATCAAGATTAGATAGATGATCCCACATCCTGAACTAAAGGTGACTAATTGAGTGCTTAATATTCGACCCGGCCTATTCATCTTAACTCCACACCACCTAATTTGAATGTCTTTTCTTTTTCTTTTTTTTTTTGGTGAAGGGTAGTTTGAAATAATATATATATATATATATATATAATTTCAGACCTTTTTTTTTTGTGAAGGATAGTTTGAATATATATATTGTTTCAGAACTTTTTTTTTTGTGGAGGGTAATTTGAAATTTATTAAATCATCGTTAATTAATAACATCTACGTTTGCGCAAAATTATACCGCATGTGATATGAAATAATGTTGTTTTCTTGGGGGCACCATTCCATAGGATGTTGATGTTAATTAATTAGTCCCCTCCACTATAGTAAATATGAGTTATCAACATAAAAGTGCCACGTGTATGCACTTCACTTACCTTTAAGAAGCCCATTTTTTTCAAAGATATATCTTACTTGTTTATATATATATATATATATATATATAATTCCACAAAGATAGGAAGAGTCAAGCATTATGGGATGGGATGATCAGGGGAATATGGTTTTCCCATATGTTCTTTTTCTTAATAATATTGTTAATCACTCACCTTAATGATTTTATACTTGTTTAATGAAAGCTCTGATGATGGCATTTTTGTCTCCCACTTCAAAATGTTAAGGGAGCCCTTATGTCTGTTTGCTGTGATTATAAAGCTGCATTACCATTTTAATCATATATTATTGAAAATGGATAGTAACTGCTTGAAAATAGCAGTACACTTTAACTTAACCTCAATATTTAAGTTGATAAATTCTTCTTCTTTATTACATATTAATTATTAAATCTAATTGTATACATATAGAATATAGAATTTTCCACGTAAGCTCAAATCTAGTCACTCCTAACAAATATATATAGCATTTATATCTACACATAATATCTTTTTATTATTGATAATAATTCTATGGGTTATCAGAATAATTACAGTTAATAATGTTCCAATAAATAATTGAGAACATGAACAAAAAGGAAAATACCGCACAGCAAGACCCAATAATGGTCAATTTTTAAATGAATCTCCGTTTGGCCTCCAGCTCTAGAATTTAAATAAACCGTCCTAAGCATTGTGCTGCCTTAAAAATATTATTGAATATAGTGCTGCAAGGAACATAAAAGAAACGCCATCGTGAGATCATAAGAGAGACACAAATGTGATTACGTGTGGAAAATCTGATTTAAGATATAAACTTAAGGGCCGAAGCAGCCATACGAGTTGGTTAGTCAAACTGTCAAAGGTGAGCTTTAAATCCACATATATAATATGAAAACAATGTGTTTGATGTGCTTTTATGCCATTGGTCAAAGGCAGGAAACTCGAAAATGATGTGGCATAAGTTGACTGTATTATTTGGACCAATTTGAGTTTTCATTTTTTTTTTCCCGGGGAAATTATGGACTTAAAGGAGAGGACATATTCTATTCTTTGTGCGTGTGTGAGGTTGTCTGAAGGTAGGTATTATTTGATAAAATAAATACAATTCTCTTTTTTTAAAAAGAATTATCTACTAAACAATTGCATTAAACATTCACAAGCTGCAGAGTGGATTAGTGCAGATCAAAGACATGGAATGTTGAGGTAAAAGAAAAAAAAATAAAGATAATAAAGATAATTAAATGGAAAAATAATTAAATAGAATAAAAAGAAAGGAAAGGACAAGAGGGGGACAAGAGGGGAATACTGCAAAACATGATTAAGGAGGGGGAAGGGAGACTCCATCATGTTGGGTCTCCCAAGATTGATAAACGTGAACTCTAACCCATCATCTTATTATCTATTTGCCTCTCTCCCTGGGCTCCACTCGCTCCCCACCGGACCCCACTCAGTGCCCCGGCCCCTCTTCTGTTCATCCATACTTCATTATACGCTACACTCTCCTTCTCACGCATCATTCAAGTATACAGGTACAAGACAACCACTGGGCATACTATCAGTATTCATTATTGTACGCTAATCCCATGTCTAATTGCCATCATTTATATCTTCTTGAGGCGTAAACTGTGGATCTTTTTTTTATCTTTTGATAAATTCATTCTATATATATATATATATAAATCCTTATACGGATCGGTTACCGATAATACATAAACATTTTAATAACCCTTTTGCAGGAGCTACACTGATCCCATATATATTGAAGTAATTTGAAAGTAAAAAAGGGGATAGAAAATAATAGAATGGGGGCTTATGGTCCACGTTGGATATATATATATATATATATATATTTAAAGAGAAGAAATGAATTAAGAAGAAAAGAGGAGTAATTAGAAGGGGTGGTGGTGGTCCATCAAGTACACTGCTGATTTGCCTTCTTGCTTCTCAAGCAACCTCCTAATACTCTCTCTTTCTGTGTGTGCGCACCAAAACATTCATGGCGAAAGCATAATGATCACTACTCCAGCTCAAGATCCATGTGACTTCCTATCATCCCTTTTTCCCGTATTTCAAATCTCCCTGTCCCTCTCTCCCCCCCCCCCCCCCCTCGTTTTGGGTTTACCCCATATAACTCAAATCTGACGGCAATAATCTCTTATACATGCAAAACTTATCAGACCGTAAATTTTCCTGATCACTACTCTCGTCTTCTCTTACTCAAACTCAAACTTCCCATCTTCATTAATATCGCACGTAATGGGAACAACTGAGTTGTTTTAACTTATTTCATTCTACTGGGTCCAACAAGTTTAATAGTCACTATTCACACACGCACACACCTACCAGATTGACTTAAAGTAGTGTATACTGGGGGGAGGGCAAAATGCAAAGAGTTAAAAGATCCCTCACGAGCGTCACTTGGGTTTACCGACTTATTCATTTAATTTTACAAGTTGACTGGCAATATAACCTCAGAAATCTTAATTTTAACATATGAACTCCCAATGAATCTCACTAATTTCACCGGGCAGCAGCCATTGGAGTTTTAGTTGAAAATGTTAGCTTCGGGCATGTTACTCACAATTAAAAAAATTTAAGGGTCCCCACCTTTTCAAGTTTAAAGGATAAATTGCACAATTGTCTTAGATTGAGAAATATATATTCTTTATGTTTTAGGTGTCAATCCAATCCATTCTTTATAAGTTAGGGAGTTGAGTATATATGTATGTAAACTTGACGTTACTTTTTCAGAGATCAAATTAAAGTTGATATTTTAAGATCATCAGTTCATATAATTTTTATATTTATCAATTAATAACTAATTTTTAATGATGGTCTTATATGATTGTTGAAAATACATAATTTTAATCATGAGTGACGATTACTGATTAGATATACAATAATATTTTGTCTATTTTAATAAATCTAATATATTGCATTCATACTCATTAATTACACACAAAAAACTTATTTGTTCATAAAATATAAATTGTCAAATAAATTTATGTTTTAAATAATTATGCAATGTAATACACTTGGTCCAAAATATAGGACATTCGGTAACTTTTTTATAATTATTTTTTAACTATACTCCCACTTTATTTATTAATCTTTTAAAAAAAATGATGCATTAAAATTTTAATTATCATTATAAAAATACTTATATAAGATATTTAATAAGGGTAAAATTGAAAAGACGTAAATTTTTTAAAAAAATTAAGTTTTCAATTAAATTTTTTTAAAAATCATGAATTAATTATTAATGTTTTATATTTTGGTCTGTAGGGAGTAGTTGTCTCTATGCAAATCAAAAAATTAAAAAATTCAAAATAAAAAAATGGGTCTCAAAAACATAAAATTCCTTTTTTGTTGAATTAGGTGAAGATTGGGTACGTCATATTATTTGTAGTTTATTTAATGAAAATATGAAATTCATATATCCTAACGTTAATTATATATAATAAAGAATGAAAAAGTAAAAATTAAATATGCATTATGTTATAAAAATAAAATTAATTAAAAAAATATCATATAAAATTTTGTATAAAAAATTTGAGATATTTTAATTGAATAGATAAACATGAAGCTTGACCTACGAATTTCTCGGTTAATTGTGGTATTAAGTAAAATAATCGGTGTGCTTTTGAGCAATAGGCGTACAAACAGATCGGAATGGCCGTTTAATTTGGTGCCTTTTGCTTTTGTAGTCAAGGCTCAAACAAAGGTGTAGCCTGAGGCAGGAGAGAGAATTAGGAGCTTTATAGAGAGAGAAAGAGAGATAAGAAGAAAAAAATAAAATAAAATAAAATAATAAAAGAAGAACCGGGTTTTCTTGCTTTCTATCTTGTTTCTTTGTTTTTCCTTCTTCCTTTTCTTTCTTTGCCTGCGTCTCTTTCTTCTCTCTCTCACAAACCGCCTACAACATACTGACTGATACATGAGCTTCTTAAATTGGCAAAGGCTTTAAAGGTTCCTATGTGTGCTTGAAGCAGCCAGCTTTTTCTTTTTATTACTATTTTTCCTCACTGCCCCTTCAGTTAAAGACTTTAAAGTTGAGGGAATTCTGATGTTTTTCGTGGTTAAAGCAGGTTTATAGTTCAATCCCACCGCGACAGTTTCTTCTTTTCCTCCTTCCTCCTCCTCCTCCTCCTTTCTTGTTTCCTCCGTTTTTCTCTTCTCTCCTTCTTCTGCATATACACACGCCTCTCTTGTTCACGTCGCGGCTTTTGGATTGATTTCTTCTCTCTGCTCAAGTACTTAAGAATTGATATTTTCAATTTGGTTGAATTGAAGGTTCTTCGTCTCTCTGTGATGTTTGTTTTGATTATTATTTGCTACGTTGACGTCATCTAGTTTCTCAATCGAATCATCCGCAGCAGTGGCTGAAGCATCTATGTCTTGATATAAGGTTGACAAACTCGTGAAAATGATTTGGCCAGTATCAAGGCGATCTTGTTTTGTTATTATTTTCACTTCCCAGTCATGGAAAATGATTGAAACTCACCCTTCATCCATTTCCCTTCCTTGTTTCTGGAAATTTTAGCCTTCGATCTCATGAATCAAGCTCTTGGAATAGTTCCAAGAGAGAGAGAGCATATAGAAGAAGCTGGCTCATCATCAGTGGCTGCGGACTGTTGCATAGAAAGAGAAATCGTGAAGAAAGGAGAATAGCATGAACAAGATGAGCAATTTGAGCTCTGTGAACAGTTGTGATCTGATAGATGCGAAGCTTGAAGAGCATCAGTTGTGTGGATCCAAGCAGTGCCCTGGTTGCGGACACAAGTTTGAAACCAAACCGGTACGGCCACACAAAATCTCTCTTTATTATTCTTTCCTTCAACCAAAAGCTTTTGACAACATGTATTTCAAGAATCATAGACTAAAAAGCATATATATCATATGTATACATGCATATGGGAGCTTATTTCTATTCTCGGACTAATTTGCGATCTGATTATGCTATATGTTTTCCTTTTCCCGCTCCTCTTCCATGGCTATTAATTCCCCAAAGTTTATGTATTTGTTAAAGCTCTCGTCTTCTTTCTTTGATTCTCTCTTTCTCTTTTGCTCTTTCTCATATATTCTTCTCCTTTTTTTTGTTTTTTGGCTTTCGTTTTTATTTTGAAATTCACAGGACTGGCTAGGTCTTCCGGCTGGCGTGAAGTTTGATCCGACGGACCAAGAACTAATCGAACACCTCGAAGCCAAAGTGGAGTCCAAGAACATGAAATCTCACCCTTTGATCGACGAGTTCATTCCCACTATTGAAGGAGAAGATGGAATTTGTTATACCCATCCTGAGAAACTCCCAGGTCTCACAAAGATTCTTAAACAGTCATGTTTTGTTGATCATATCCAAGTTGCTACATTTTACTCATTATTATTCTTAATTACCACTCAACCACCTCAGTTAGTCTAGGACTTAGGCTTTACTCTGTGTGTGTGTGTGTGTGTGTGTGTTCTTTTTTTTTTTTTTAATGGATAATTTTGTGAAGCAGGTCACCTAAATGGACCTAACTTTGATTTATGCAGGAGTAACAAGGGACGGGTTGAGTAGGCACTTCTTTCACAGACCTTCGAAGGCTTACACGACCGGAACAAGAAAGAGGAGAAAAATCCAGAACGAGAGCGAGATGCAAGGAGGAGAAACGCGGTGGCACAAGACGGGGAAGACGAGGCCGGTGATGGTGAACGGCAAGCAAAAGGGCTGCAAGAAGATTCTCGTGCTCTACACCAACTTCGGCAAGAACCGAAAGCCCGAGAAGACCAACTGGGTGATGCATCAGTACCATCTGGGCCAGCACGAGGAGGAGAAAGAAGGAGAGCTCGTCGTGTCCAAGATTTTCTACCAGACTCAGCCCAGACAGTGCAATTGGTCCGACAGGTCAGCCACCACCGGCGAACCCAGCGGCGACTTCGTTAATGCCAATAGCAGGAGAGACAGTGGGAGTGGGAGCTGTTCTTCTTCTAAGGAGATCAACAACGTTGTTGTCACAGCTCACAGGGATGATCAGATGTCCGCGGTCGTCGGTGTTGTTCCTCCCATGTCGTCGTACCTTCATCATCACCATCATCATCCCTTGGATATTCAACAACACCTCAAACCCGACCACTTTGGATTCATTCCGTTCCGGAAAAGCTTTGACGAGGTACATACACTCATACAAATATTTGGTAATTAACATGAAAGGGATCATAGCTCTCCAGGATGATAATTAATAATAAGCATGCACGAAAGTCTTAGGGTAGATAAATTGTTGGATTTCCCTCTTTCTAACAGCTGAGTGTTGACATGTAACCTTTGCTTGCATACACAGCATGTGCCATACTTATGGTTCTGACTTCTTCATAAATCAACGTCACCTAACTACCGATTGTTAATTCACCAACCGAAAAAGAGAACAGTGCTTGAAAGTAATTAAAATCATGCCACACAATTTGATGTATATAATCGAACATCTAGCAAGAAACTTATCAAAATTAAATGGACGATGATGATACACACACACACACTAACAAAATAGGTATACATGATGAATGGCAGGTGGGAATAGGAGAGGGTTCAATGGGGAGAGATCAAGTGCAGCCATCAGGCGAAGAAGTTAATGAAGGACAAAGGCAGCAACAGCAACATCATCATCATCAAGTGGCTCAGCATCATCAGCAACATCAGAATATGGCGACCACGACAGCTTTCCATATAGGCAGGCCTTCACTTCCGATCTCTAACATAATCTCTCCTCCACCTCTCCACCACACTTCCATCATCCTCGATGATAACTCCTACCATGTCTCCAGAATCATGCTCCAAAACGACAACTTTCAGGTGAATTTCCCAATCCCACCTCATCCATCTTTTTAACTTTATTTTTAAGGTAGATTGTCTTTATATGTTTCCCGTCATATTTGCACTTTAATGTGTTTAACACACAGAGTGAACCATGAAATATACTTCCTCCATATCACAATATAGGATATTTTTTAGAAATCTTGTTTGGTACAAAATATAAAATACTGGGTAACTTTTATAATTATTTTTTAATTACACCTCTACTTCCTTTATTACTCTTTTTTAGAAAAAAAATGTGTTGAAATTTTAATTATCATTATCAAAGAATTTATAATGAGAGTAAAATTTGAAAAATGTAAATTTTTTTAAAATTAGCTTTCAGCTAACATTTTTTTAATACCATGAGTAGTTATCAATGTCTTATATTTTGGTCCGGAGGGAGTATAATGAACATTTCATCTATAATTAAATGCGCCGGGGGATGGAGGTTAATTATGATGAGAATTTATTAATTAGTTGGTGCGTCTCTTAATTTTCATGAGATATCATGGACTATATTACGTAGGGGGGAAGTGAGGCAGTCAATGAGGTAATAAGTTGGGGAAATTAAGTCTGAAATGGACTACATGAGCCTGCATGGTATTATGCATGAGGAAGATTCACAACGGGTGGCTTTCAGTGTAGGCTAAATCGCGAGCATAGACTGTCTTCTTTACCTTTTTAATATTGTTGAAACATGATGATTATGATTTGTGCTTTGAATTTGATGATGTTGTGTCCTTTAGAAATGCGCATATAAGTGTGTGAGAGTGAGAGAGTGAGTGTGTGCATATATAATAAATAGTAATGGACGTGGGATGGCAGCAACAGCAGCAGCAACATCATAAACTAGGAGGAAGCTCTGCGTCTGGTTTGGAGGAACTCATAATGGGATGCACTTCATCAACTGATATTAAAGCGGTGAGTAACAACTTTTTGACTCTGAAATATATGAACTTTGTGTCTCATGATGCCAACTAGAGAGAGAGAGAGAGAGGTAGTGAAGAATTTATTTTATTTTTTAAATAAATTTTCTTAAAAAAGAATACGGTAATTTTTTATTATTTTGTTTGAATTAAAGACTAAAAACCTTTTTCTTCTTTATCTCTTTATCTCTTCTATCCCCTCCCTTTAATTTGTTCTCTTCGTATAGGCATATCCAGACACGGAATATATCTTTTCTAAGAGTAATTAACTAGTACCTTGAAGAATTTTCCTTTTCTCCCTTTCTTTTTTTAAAAAAAAAAAAAGCAACTGAAGTATACACAAGAGTTTCCATATGCATACCTTTCGATTCAAAATGGGGGAATTAAGAGAGAGATTTTAATTTAAAATTAATATTTGGAAAAAAGATTTCAATCTATTTTTCCTTAAAATATATGTTGATTAATGAATCGGAAAATGGTTTATTTCAGTTGAAATAAATAGTGTTCTTTATTCTCCTCAATTATATTTAAATATTATATGAACATTTGTGCACTACAGGATATATTTATAAATGCTAAGATATGTGAATGGAAGAAAATATCCGGGACTGTGAATGGAAGTTATAAAGAGAAAGAGATCGATATCCTCTTCTCTTTATTTCATTCTTGAACTGTGCACAATAGAAAAACTTGTGCGTTTTTCTTCCCATTGATAAGACTTCTCCTAAAAGTCGGTTCTAAATGGAATTTATTTATTTATAATCGAGGAAAAAAAAATCGAGGAAGATGATAATGACTCGAAACCCTTTTTCTCATGCCTTGCCTTTTTAGTTATTAGACTTAGCTAGTGGGCATTGACATTAATTGACCATGAGGTGGAAAAGCAGCCACCCCCTCAAGTGCTTCATTTCCTTTATCTTTCATTGCTTCCTCTCTGGAAATTAATTATATGCTTTCATCACACAAACCCTAACCCTAGTTCTTTTTACATGTACGTGGATGTATATAATTTCTCACGCAGGAATCATCAGTCTCCGTCACAAACCCTCAAGAAGCTGAATGGCTCAAATACTCTTACTGGCCCGACCCGGATAACCCAGATCATCACGGGTAGTAGAGAGAGGAGGGAAAATACAAAAAAAAAATATTTAAAAAAATTACAAAGAGAGATTGATGGACCAAGTCAGTGTCGTCGTCGTCGTCATAAGTACGTAGGGGAGGCCAACCCCCAAGTTTCTTTGCATCAAAAAGGCCAAAGAGGCCGAAATCAAATCGTCCATGGTTTGCTCTTTTACTTTCTTTTCTTCCATCAGCGGCGGCTTGTTTCAATATTGCCTTTGTGAATTAGCTCTCAACAGAACAAAGCTGGAATTAAAGACCATACCAGAGAGTGAGAAAATGAAGAAGAAAATCAAACAAGAAGAAAAGAAACCAAAGAAAGGCTGCCCCTACCTTCTGACACATTGAGGGATGAGTCGAACGTAATTGCATCGTCCTCCATCACTATTATCATTACAATATATATATATATATATATATTTCATCTTTGTTGTTATGATCTGCATATTATTTTATTATTTTTAGATGCTTGCATAATTATGTCTTCTCGTTTCTTTATACAAGAAATATACGAATGAGTTTGTACGTGCAATTCCTGCAAACGGCCGTCTTAGTTGCCTTTTTTTTTTTCGCTGTGATTATTCATGTTTTGTTTAATGCCATGAATATGATTTATTTACGCAGAAATGAAGCGTCTCAAGAGTTTTTCATGTTGGGGCCTCACTTTCCACTTCTTTTTTTGAAAGATGCAATAGTAATCAGGTCGATCTAGCTCAGAATGCATGTCTCTCTTACATTTAGTACCGACATGACGTGGAACTGCATGTTGAAGTGTACGTAGTAGTCCCGAATAATATACACACACATACATATATAAGAAATTCATGCCTTTGATTTTTTGGATTAATTTCTTATATACATAGCGCTTAAACGAGCAATGTATCATGTGATTTTATATATTACATGGGATCAAGAAAATATGTTTTAAAAAATGAGCTTAGCTTATAGCAACTCAATATTTAAATTTTTTTTACATATATATATATATATATAAGCTTTTACATTGAAATAGTATATCGGTTTATGCATCCCTTTAAATATCTCCTGTTTTTATTTGCGTTCATAATAACCCACTCATTATGCTAAAACGTACCTTAATATTGGGTAAATGAAGCAATCGTACGTATTTCTAGCGGTTTAACTATTCCATCTAATTTGCACCATGAACAGTACAAATCTCGCAAAATGACACTATCGTAACTTTCGTTAGTTCCGATGTGCTCACCAAACAGAAAGAAAATTTACTTTGGGTGATGAGTCTCGAGAAAATCTTTTAGCATTGATGGGTCCGCTGAACTGTCGAAGGAAATCTATGTAGTACATGTTTAAAAATTAATTAAACTTAACGTTATAATTTGGTCGTGAAACTAATTCACTTTTGATAATTTCGCCATATATATGTTACTAAAGGCATCTATCTATCATCTGGGTTGTGTCTGTGACAAAAAGAAAAGAAAAGAAAAGGAAAGGAAAGGAAAGCAATACGGAACCGGAGTTCAAATATATCACTGAATCGTAGAATTTTATAAGCAAGGCTTGTTTTTTTACGATATGGTTTTTGATTTTAAAAGGGAGGGATGAGAAACCAAGTGTTACTAGGAGACGACAGAGAAGCACCTTTATTGCTTTATTCTGCGTTAGATTCGAGCTTTTGGTGCAGTATTATTAGAGTTAAAGAAGCGCTTATCCCACCACCCATATCTGATATGTCACTCAGCAACGTGCAAGCCATCTTTTTCCTTCACGGGACATGCATGCAATAAAGCGAGAAATTCAAGATGTAGGGGGAGGGAGCAACTTCATGGTAGTTTCTCAGGGGAATAAAGAGGGAACAGAGAATAATAAGACAAGAATAAACTTTTTGGTTCTTTCATTTCCCTCCTCTTTTATTTTAAGGAATGACAGCCATCTTCGAACTCCTACCTTACTGGGAATCTTTTATATAAGAGAGTGTGTGTGTGTGTACGTGATACATTTATAAATGGAGAGGCATATGTGTAGCTTTTTAATTTGTATATATGTAATGGAGTGGTAGGAGAATCTGAGAGGGATGTGGGTTGAAGGAGGGCGTTGCAAAATAAACAAAAATAGAAAGAGTTGGTGGAGGGTTGGTGACAAGAAATGAAATAGGAAGAAGAATGGGGGTTGAACTACGAACATGCGATAATTAAAAATAGAAAGCAGAGAGACCTAAAGAGGTGATAATCAGTTGCTGCACTTTATATAAGATTTTGGATGCTTTAATTTGGGAGCTAACACATTCTGTGTAGCTAACAGTATTAGTGTGTTATATTAGCACGGCTCCTGTGCAAGGATGACACGTGCAAATCGAAAGAAGTAAGGACTATGGGCATATAGAGAGGGTGCTGGAAGAAGGAATATAGCAACATGGCAGGGTTCTTCTTTTTTGGATTCTTCCACGAGGGCCCAGCTTCGGCCTTTGTTTTCGTTTCAAGACCCCACCGCTGTGCTCAAATTTTCTCATAAACCTTTCCCTCCTAAGGCCTCCATTACCATCTCCAACCATTAATTCATGCTTTTTCGTTCTTTTTAAATAAAAATACAAGTGTAGGTGGTTTCTTTTTGGGCGAAGATGAAATTCATGAGGTTCAACAATTGACTGGCAGGTCGCTATTGAGTTACTCCTTCCATCTTTATATATAAGATGTTTTTAACTAAATCACGCAAATCAATAAAAAGTTGGTTGTGTAATTAAAAGCACAACAATATTTAATTTTGTCTCTAATTATTATAAATAAAAAATAAATATCTTTTTTCAAAGTAAATTAATGAGTATTTATTTTTTTCTCTTCAATTTAATAAGATATAATGGTCCATTCATTAAAAAAATTCTAACAATTCTTTATATTTAAAATAAAAAAAGAGTTTTAAAAGAGTTTTTATACATAGAACGGAGGGAGCATATACTTGCTGCCTCTTTTGTTTTCCATGAGAAGGAGAGCTAGGTCCCAAGACAAAACGAGCTAATAAATTACATCCAAGATGCTAATTTAGAAACAATTCTACAGGGGCCAAAACGAAAAATTACATAATAGAAGGCAAAATTTGATTTTATAGCAAATTTAGTTTTTTAAAAAAAATTGTAACATGGTGCTGCCCCACATTGCCATTTATTTCAAGAGGTCTAACCTTTTTTTTTTGGGTCCTTATTTTATAAGGTGAAACAAAAAGACAGGCAACCCACTTGCTTGGGATATAATGAGGCCGTCCCATGGCAGGCCCATTTAGGAGTGCTAGCAGAGCCGACTAATCTGACATTTGGTCACTAGGAAAAGTATACAATAAAGTAGGCGTGTTGGATCCCCTTGGCAAATGAGCACATTGTAGAAATTTTTTTTTTTTTTTCAAATACAAGATTATGGTGCCCATGCAAAAAAATCAAAATCAAGTTATGTCCAAAGTTATATGGCAAATCAAGAGGGCGAAGCTAGACTTGTTTCATGCATTTTGGTAAAGATTGATTCCGTTTCATTCCAGACTTCCACGACAACCATCGTCATCGTCTCATGAGCTTACATGACCCAAACCCATCACCGGCAGATCATCACGCGTAAATCCACCTTAACCAGCAATTACTGAACCAGAATATTCTTTTCCCAGAACATTATTTGCTGTACCAAAACAAAAAAAAAAAAAAAAATTATCTTCCGAGAATGCGGCTTCTCATATTCCCCAATACCAGTTCTACAGTAGTTTTACCTTTGATGACGTACATGTCATCCTTTCACACCTTAATTTTTAATTCAATAAACCATTAAATGAGCGACCTACAGAGAATAAGATAGTTTTAGAGAATAACAATGTAAATGAAAATAGATGTTAAAACTTCAAATACACTATGTTCTAAATGGATGCCAGTTATCAACATAAGATAGCACATAACATACAAAATACTCCAAAACATCTCTTGCCGCCTGCCGCCTGCTTCAGAATCTGGGCTCCCCGAGATTTGTTTTTTTTTTATTATTATTATTTCAGTAAAATATTGTACAAATGCTTCTTTTTTTTTTAAATTGTGAGAATTTAAACCTAACCACCCAATTCCAGTTAGCTTCAAGTAGCTCTTAAATTTATTATTTTTAGTACTCTTGAAAATATTACAAAATTTATACAAGTCATTCCACTCCAAGCACAACAAATTCCGAAAAGATGACAAGATTTGTGGGCCATTCGATTGCAAGCATGAGAAATTAAGGAAAAAAATTACACACACTTCCTACCTTAAGTTGTCCCAACTTTCTGCTCGTGGTGTTTGGTTTTCGCCACATCCAAACACGCTTTTAATCTTTTTAACACCTTTCCATAGTCTGCTTATCATCAAGCTGAGAATGTAAACCTGCAACATTGTCAGCTTTCTTCCCGCAAAACTTCGTAATCTTTCGGCTCACACACACCTCAAACTTCGTTGATAACAGAAGGCGATTTTACTGACTCGATATAACTCATTAACATGTATGATATAGTTGATCTACGAAACAGAACTACACAAAAACTGATTTTGAATGTACAGGTATCGTTAAAAACGTTCGCTCCTATCATTCTTGGTATACAGACTAGACTCTTCATGTACAACTCGATTGCACCGACAACACAGTAAAATGTTTGAACCTGACTTCTTATCCCCATGATCATGTTGCTCTACAGACCACCTCCGTCCAGGTCAAGCTGGGCTTAGCAAGCACGGGCCTCAGAAATTGGCAACCGCCTGATCGCCGGGACAGTGCTTCCAGAAACTTTAAGGGATGCAAACAGGCAAGATAGTCTTGCTATCATGGGCTTGGCCTTCGGCACTTTAGTAACGATGGCCAGCTGCATGCCAGCATCGCATGCACTATGGTAACCCTCAAGATCAGCTTGGGTTATAAGGACTGCGTCCCTAGAAGGAGAGTATGGCATAGGGGTAGGGGTAGGCCTAGCACCAGGAGAAAGAGAAGGTCGGTGCTTGCTGTAGTTTTGAACAGCCTGCTCATTAAATTAAAATCATTAAAAGGCCAATAGTAAGCAAAAGCTGTAAATCATGATATATCATTACTGTAGTAAAGAGAGAATGTCACACTCACTAGTCACTACATCACTAGGCTAAATGAGTGCAAAGCCTCCTAGTTAAAATATTAAAATAAATTAACAAAACAAGCTAACCTTCCATTGTGATGGTGCTAGCAGCACCCTAGGTCTGCGAGACCTCACATAATCCAGGGCAATTGCAGGTGTCATGTGCTTATATTCAACCTACAGATCATAAATAGACCATCAGGGACACGCCAGTAGCTTAAAAAGTCTCGGCTGATGCTACAAGATCAAGCATGGGAAATAAACATTACCAAATAACAAAGAACAATCGTTGTACTTCTGCCTCGACCAGCTTTGCAGTGAACATAGGTGGTTTTACCGCAACATGCATTTTCTGCACCGAAACAAGATGGTAAGACAAGAGGGGACCAAAAAGAATTTTCCAGCCAAGAAATTACAAAAATATGCACAATCATGTATCCTCCCAAAAAGAAGAGAAAATACTCACGATGAATGAATTGCACAGCTCGGTTAATATCCTCTAGTGAAGGGGCAAACAGATAATCCCTTGTAGGAATCACTAAATGATCGATCTCATGAGCCTAAAATGCATCAAAGAAATAAACCAAGAACATGAGCAGCAGTCTTGAATTAAACAAATATACTCGCAAAACAATGAAAATATTATCCTTGACTTCAAATTCACGTTCATAAAACACAGTCCTCATTGGAATAAGAGACTATGAATTTCTATACCCAGTACAAAAAGAGAGAAAATGATCATAAGGTTCTCACAAACCGCTGTAAAAATAAAAAAACTTTGCAGAGAAAATGGTCCGCACTTACATGATATAATGATGACGGTACCAACGTTTCATAAGGTTCATTCAAAGTAATTACACCACCCACGCCAAGCTTCTTCAAGCGTGGAACATCTTTAGGGAATGGAACAGCACCCAGTAACAAAAACTGGTAAGAACATGAACAAAAATTAATGGAACATCTTATATCGTTTCAATCCAAGATAACGCAGAGAAGCACCTATAATGACTTCCAAATAATGCATTAAAACAATAGGTATCAGATTAAGGCTCTCGAGCAGAGTGTAAGGTTTAAATAGGCAAGATCCCAGTTTTCTTGACTCCTATTTGGAACAAAATTCCGAAACCTAGAATTCATTATCAATATCCACTCTCAGAAAGAATCTAGCTTAAGCCAAACTTCATGTACAGGTTGTGCTATATAGCAACAGGGACCCCACACACAGTTGAACATCATTTTTTGTTGCATTGCATTAATAGAAATAAAAGCGCATCGCAGCAAACAGTAATCAGCTCAATTTCCCAGTGAAGAATAAACTGATAAACTATAACATTTAGATCCCGCAAGTGCATCATGCGAACTCCTTCCCAGGAAAGCAAACGTAAAATCAGCTATGCTTTAGCTAAAATGTAAAACGACGATAAGTGAATAAAACTATCATGGAATAAATATATAGTGAGAGCAAAACCTCATCGACTTGATCCCACCACCTGAACTCAGCTTCAATCTTATTCCGAAGCACATTATACAAAAGAGTCGGGTAAAACAGGATCCGAGCACCTGCTCCAACTAACACTCTCTTTGCATCAACCCTCACAATCTGGTTCTCATAACCCCCTTCGTCCCTACTGGATTCCACATCGTCCAATTGCACAATCTTCATTCCTGACAGCAAATACAAAAACCCTAAACCAACCGCGATAAGTTTCGAAATCCCAAACACAAAAGTCAGCTTTAAAACCAAAATCCATAGGGAAAAACAACTCACCACTCCCTTGGGAATTAAAGGAGCCAAACAATCAAAAATTGGGGGAGAATTTAAGAAGATCAGAGAGAAGAAACCAGAAATTCAGCATAAGAAGTCAAGAAGTGAAAATCAGGGAATCAATGGAAGCGAGTGGTTTACGAAATCATGATTGAGTGATGAATTCTGGCAAGAGAGTGAAGAGATTGCAGGCAAGCCGATGGAACTGTAGGATGATCGGGTTATTATGTGGGGTACGAAAGCCAGAATAGAATTGGAAACTGCATAGTGAGTAGAGTATTCTGAATGGAGGGACCTTCGAGGTCGGATTTATCACGAAAAGACACGTACAATAAGAGCGAAGGTGATATTACAATTAAGGACCCCGCCTTAAAAACAATTTTGTTATTAAGATTATCAAAATGTTGGTAAAAAAAAATTAAGATTATGAAATTTATTTATTTATTTACGGATTTCTGAAAAATTATGAAAACGTTTCAAAAGAATTAACGTAAAATTTACATGAGAAGAAGACTACGGCTTGATATATGTTTACCTAATAAAATTAAAATAAGTAAATTTTTTAATAAAAAATAAGTTAATTTTAATGTATTAATAATATTATTAAAAGATATTGTAAAATATGTAATTTATAAAAAATATATATCTTAATTTAATTAAAAATAAGTATTTTAATTATATAAAATTAAATATACAAGTTTTTCCCGTTTACATATAGCAATATTGTGCTACTAGTTTTTGTTTGTGGTCTCGTACCGCAACAACACTAAATATCTTTATTAATAACATATTTTTATTGTCAGTGTTCTATTAATAACATCTTTAATAAATGCAGAGCATAAGCCCTCGTAAGGATTTATTCTGGTATTTTTATAGAATATATCATATTACAATTAATTACAATTTCAAGATTTTCCATGATTATCTTAGAATTAGTTAACACTCCTTGTCTTATTTGGAACACCCTTTTCAATTTCTTCCATATAACTTTTTGTCTGAAAGTATTAATTCTGTTTTGATATTTCCTAACTTATTAAACAATTTTCCAATAATTAAGTAATTTTTAGCTAGTTAAACAACTTCCGTTAATTGAGATATTTTGCAGAGGATAATTTTAAAGTTTTAAAAGCATTAAATTAAACAAGTCTTTTATAATAAAGAGGGGTAGCTTTTTAAAAATATCATGATATGCTCTTGAATTATTATAGTAAATTTTTATTTTTATAAATAAGTAAATGCAATAATTCCTGCTATATTTTGGATGTGATTTTTTCAAGCATGAAGTGTGATTCTTCAACTCTTATTCCTTTTTTTATTTCAAAAATAAAAACCGTGCAATTCATTGGTTTTGTAATGGGACTGTATATTTAATACATTATTAACATATTACGGTAATCCAAAATATATTAGAATGTAGATGATTAAATTTTTAGAATATATGCTCCATTGTGACTGTGCTTATCAATTTCATTTACACAAAATACACATGGGTTTGATTTGAGGCAAGACACTTAGGGCCTGTTTGGTTTTTATTTTTAAAAACTATTTTATAATACAGTTTCTAATTTCTAAAATTATCTTTCAAAACAAAATAAAATAAAAATTTGCTTGGTTATATCAATTAAAAAAAAGTTTTAGAATTAAAAACTAAACTGATGGTAATAATTATAAACAATTAATGATGGTAAATAATAATTGAAATTAGTCAAGATAACTATAATTTTCAATAATTAAATATAGTGTATTTAAAAAAATAAAAATAATTTGAAGTTGTTTCAACTTTTTTATTTTTTTAAAAAATAAAAAAATCTTAAAAATAATTAAATAAAAAACGCTTATGTAAATAAGTTTTTAAATTTTTCTATTTTCAATAACATAAAATAATTTTCAAAAATAGAAAGCAAACATGCCATTAAACCCAACCCCACATCCCCAAAAAAAAAAAAAACAGAAGAGAAAAATAGCTGTTTCTTGGTACAAGAAAGGAGACTAGCAGCCGGGGACTAGATATCATATCCCATACACATGTACAGTACAAGCCATCTGTCTTATTTGAGGCTTACCAACAACACAACTTCCCATTATTTTATTTTATATTATATTGCTTATTAATATTCATGTGAATATGTGTTTACAAGTACAATAAGCGTACATGTGAATATGTGTTGACTTAGAAGGATGTATTGTCTACTGCAAATCCATGAATGTGTCGAAGAAGTTAAATTGAAGTTGTCAAAGTTGGAAAGAAAATGAAATTTGAAAAGGATAAGATATGATAGTGTTGTCTTAATCTTAATCCAGGGAAGATTGACGCCAGAGCCCAATCCACGTGGTTGATAGGAATGTTAAAGTCGAAACTTAGTGAAGAAGCAAAGGCAGTGTATGAGCGAGCAACGACATCACTCACAAAAGAAACCAACGACCTTTGAAGGATGAGAGATATATGGGCCATAAGGAAAGCCACTTTATTTTAGTTACACATGGAAAGTGGGCCACAACACCCCTAAAGCCCATTGGCCTAACCACATACTACTGCCTTTATTTATTTATTTATTTTGAAAATATAGTTAAAAGAAAATGCATCATAGGTTATGTTTTTTGCCGTCCATCTCTTTGAAAGTATAGCTCAAAACTTAAAATATATACTCTATCCTGTTTATAAGGTACAGAAGAGTGGATTGTTAGTGTAGAAGTTTTGAAAAATATAATTGGAGGACATGTGTGGTGTGATCTATGAAGTATCTCAGCTACAAGAAGAATGGGAGCTCGACCGAACAAGCAACAACTTGAACATGCACAAACAAACAAGTGAGCAATATAATGACTAACGCAGAAGCCACAAGGTTCCGAGACGAAGCTTAGTGAACCGAAATCTTAATTAAGAAGAGAGTAAGATGTTTTATCATATTAATAACGCATGCTATTAATTTTTTTTCATTAGAAATTCTCCTATACTTTTTCCTTAAAGGTTAGTGAAAGTCTGTCATTAAAATATGTGCATTTAATAGGTCAAAATTGAAAACTTACTAGATTTTTAAACTGAATTAATTAATTAATTTTAAAGATTTTCTTAATTCTAATAAAATATGTTGAAAGTAACTTGTGCAACTGAGTATATAATCTAAACACATGAATTGATAACCTGTTCCATACGTTGCATAGTTTTTTTAAAAAAAAAACGTTGTATATATTGGTAAGTGGCGGTCATTTTAATCCTAGAAAACAACGTGGAAGGCCCTTTCCCAGGTTTGGATATACGACCTCAATGGTTGCAGCAAATTGTGGGATTGCTGAGTCAAGCAAGCTCATCATTTTTGGAATATAATAACAGGATTCAATCGGAGGGGTTAATTTTCCTCAACGAAGATTTACACAGGGCTAAGATAACGAATACTTACTCGTCCGCGTACATTACATTTTACCTTTTCCTGCCTCTAAGCATTTGTTGGGGGTTGGTGCCTACCACTTAAACTACACTGTGTTTCTGGTGGCTGACCTATGAACATGCATCTACTCGGCACCACTCCCATTTATGTAATACACTAATGCCAGTCCAATAGAGAAAAGAGGAATCGTTTTCCCTTTTCTATTATTATCTTTTCCTTATCTTTTGTTATGAGTTGGAGCAGGATTTCAGGGCCGTCCATGAAACTTGGAATCTGAGTGCTTCCCAATACTCGTCAAAATGGTGCGGCCTGCTTTTTTCTTGGCCCTAATGATTGATTTTGGGAGCATGCTCTCATCATTTAGGCAAATGAATTGAAATCTGACTTTTTGTTCTGCTTTAGAAACTGCGGCTACACACGGGACTCCAAAAAAACTGTATTTTAATCCAAAAAAGGGATTGCGTTGAAATAGGGTTTGTTTCTGGAGAACAGAGTGTTCATGCATTTCAAAGCACAGAGAAATGGCTCTCTCTGCTTAGTCAAACGATCTTCTTCCTCCCCGAGTTCTTCAGTTAGGAAATGTTTGAATTGACTGTTAACGATTTCCTTTGCAGCCCCATCTTCTTTGCATTTCTGGCCAGCCCCGTGGACCCGCCACTCATATTCATTAGCTTCTATCTACTTCTTGGTTTTTATTTATTAAGAATTTAATTCCCCACACCAGCTTCATATTTTCGTTACTCTTCTTGCTGGTATTTGCTGAAATTTGAGGCTCAAGAGATTTCACCTTCAAGAGGAGCAGATTTCAAAAGTCCTAACGTGTCAATTAAGATTAGGATCCCCAAGACAAACGTTGATTAGACTACAAACGCTTGCTTGTAAATATATTTTTAATTTTAATTTAATATAATATTTCATCTCTTTTAAATGATAAGGCATTTTTTTAAAAAAATTCACATACTAATAAAAATTATTAAATATAATTAATAATATTATTTTTTAAAATAAAAATATTAATTTTTAAAAATATCTTTCATTTAATAACTTTAAATTTATACTTAATTAGTATTAAATAAAAATAAAAATAATATTAAAATAAATTCATTTAATAAAATTTTAATCTTTTTAAAATATTTTATATTTTCAGATGATAATTTTTTTAAAAAAATATCTTGAAATTTGAGACAGCTGGAGTATAATATTACATCTCAATCATATGGATTAGAGGAGTAGGATGACTCATGGGGCGACGCAAAACATGAAACAGCACGCTTATTCTAGGCATCAAGTAATCTTTTGTTTTCTTCTTTCAAGGGTTTGGAGGCATTAAATAGCTGTCAGCGATGTAGGTGATGATTGATCATTACAAATACCGAAAACCTCTACTGGATTGCGAGGTGAATTAGTAAAACCGATTCCCATTATCCTGTCCTAAGTAATAGACACCTGTTGTGTAATTAGTGTTTTACTCGTCCCGTCCATGTCTTTTCATTCACAGATGACATGCCTGGTGGGGGCATTAATTGAAAAAGGTAATCGGATCAGAAGCCCCCACCAACTTTTTGTTCATTTTATCAGAAGCTCGTTGATAATTACTCGGAATAATTAATACCACATCGTCTTATCTCACTGAGCGTACGCTTTTAGTTCCCTCGTTTGAAATAATAAATTTTTAAAAAAATTATTTTAAAATATTAAATATTTTAAATAATTAAAATTCATTAAATGTATTAATTTTAATATTATTTTTTATAATTTATTTTTATTCATAATCTTTTAATATATTAAATGATAAATATTTTTAAAATTTTATATTTTTATTTAAAAATATAAAATTATTAAATATATTTAATAAAATTTATTAATATATAAAATTTTATGTAAAAGTATTTTATAATTTAAGATAAAAGAATATTTAATTTGAAAATAATATCTTGTACGAGAAACTGGCTTATGACCACTAATGACAGAAAGAAGTCAACAAGTGTACAGAAAAAAAGATGCATAGACATGGAGGACGGAGCTGTAGCCCAAAAGCCAATAACTGTCTGTGATTAAGCTCCCATCTTATTGCGTTTCAATAATATCTAAGCCTTTAATTGTACAAAGGGTGTGATGGAGTCAAGAATTTCTGGCAAGGCCAATTAAACCCCACCAGTATACCACTTTCTTCCTCTTGAATGCAGCATCGAGCTTATTTGGACAGTCTTATAGGGGAGACCATAAAAAAAAAAAACAGGCGTCTTGGTCTTTTAAGCTCGGAGTAATGGAGAAGGCCGGGATGATTCTGGCTTTTGATCTCCTTCTCCTCCTTCACCTTAACCTCCATTTAGATCCAGCAAGAGCAGCCTTTGGCGTCGGCGGTGACATTGGCGTCGGTGTAGGTGTTGGCGGCGGCGGCGGCGGCGGAGTGGTATGGGTTGGCGCCGGCGGGAGTAACGGTTCTCCGGGGCAGTCGGGGCCTTCTTCAGTGCCGAGGCAAGACAAAGCCTACGCGGCTCTCCAGGCATGGAAAGCCGCGATTACAGACGACCCACTGAGGATTCTGGAGAGTTGGAATGGTTCGAATGTGTGTTCTTATAAAGGGGTGTTTTGTGCGAATCCCGAGGATGCTTCCGGTGAGCTTGTGGTGGCGGGAATAGATCTCAACCACGCGAATCTTAGAGGAAGTCTCGTGAAAGAGCTCTCTTTACTCACCGAAATGTCTCTTCTCCATCTCAACAGCAACAGATTTACAGGTACAGTTCCTGATACGTTCAGAGACCTCTCTTCTCTTGAGGAATTAGACCTCAGCAACAACCAACTCTCAGGCCCTTTCCCCTCGGTGACCTTGTCAATGCCCAGTCTGGTTTACTTGGACCTCAGATTCAACTCTTTCTCCGGACCCCTCCCTGATGATCTTTTCAACAAGAATCTGGATGCTATTTTTCTCAACAACAATCAATTTGAAGGCGAAATTCCCCAAAATTTGGGCAATTCCCCTGCTTCCGTCATAAATTTAGCTAACAACAAGTTCAGTGGAAGCATCCCTGCGAGTTTCGGCTTCATGGGTTCTAAGCTGAAGGAGATTCTCTTCCTCAATAACCAGCTAACAGGGTGCATTCCTGAAGGGGTTGGGATCTTCACGCAGATGCAAGTTCTGGATGTCAGCTACAATTCATTGATGGGTCACTTGCCAGATACAATGTCTTGCCTGCAAGACATGGAAGTTCTGAATTTGGCGCACAACAAGCTTTCTGGGGAGTTATCGGACGTGATCTGCTCTCTGAGAAACCTTTTGAATCTCACGGTTGCCTATAATTTCTTTTCCGGGTTCAGCCAGCAATGCTCGAGGCTGTTCGTCAGGAATGTGGGTTTTGATTTCTCAGACAATTGCATTCCCGGGAGGGACATGCAGAGACCTCAACCAGAGTGTTCTGTGATCCCTGGTGGCAGCTTAAATTGTCTCAGAATCCCAACTCCGAAGCTTGTTTGTGGTTCGCTTGGCGTCGGTCTCTCCAAGCGCGCTCATATCAGCCCATCTTCTTCGCCTTGATATTTTACCCCATGGTTACAGGTTGGCCGTGGCCATGGCAGTTCTGTTAATTAATGCTAGCAATTATGATTCTACCTTGCTAATTTAATTCTTCATGGATCCGGTGTACCTGTTGGCTAATTTAATTGGCTTGCACGGATAAACACATGTCTCGAAATCGAAGGAAAAGGATTTGCGAGACATCTAATATATAAGTGACCAGCATAATAATGCTGCTCTAGTTATGCCATTGACATGCAGGACAATCGGTGTGTCACGTGACATGCTTGTTTGTTTTAGTTACTCACAGTATCACGGGTTCTTCATAGTTTGCGCCCTCAGCTTCTTTTCTTCCCCGCATTAAACTTGACACGTGCGATCATTCTTTAGATTACAGGATTAGTTCACCCGCCACTGATTGCCCCTGCAATTATACGAATGTTGTGAACTATTCAGGAGAGCAAGTGGGGGAAAAAGTACACTTCATTTCAAACTAAATAAAGAAATGTGCCAGGGCATATGATAAAACAAGGTCACTCAATCATAACAATCCTTGTGAACAACAGGCATGGTTTTGCCTCATAATGTTACAGAATAAAATACATTGGATTGGGGAGTTTAAAAGAGCGTGTGGCCACAGCATAACCCAATAGATCACTCCATTGATCTCCTGAGCACCCATGAATTATGTAACCCTCGTCAACCAATTCTTGCCTCCTCTCTGATTTGTAAACAGTGGCTAGTTTTCCTTGGTCAAATTTGCCTCTGTTTCATAACCAAGAGCATCACAAAGTTACAGGCCATGCATAAACTTTCAGAAAAAGACTCTGCCTAGCGGATATGAAGCAAGTCAATTCGGATGCGTGTACCTCAAGATAAGCCTCTCCCAGTTGCTGTACCCTGAAAATAAAAGGTTTGCCTCTGTGGCCTCCCTTTGGTATTCACTTCTCCCAGTTAAAAGAAATACCTTGAACCCCAGTTGTTGAAGCTCTTTGTACAATCTCAAACTGGCTGGTAGGGCTGGAGCCTTAGCTACATTCACCCAATCATCGAAGGACGTCTCATTGAATATCTCTGACCTGCGTTTCAAAGAAGATAATACTAATAGATTTAACAACGAATCGTTCCGACAATTTAGGATGCGATCGAGAGTTTACGAGAGATATTCATATATCTAACGGCTAAAGATTTAACTAGACTAACCACATAAATCAACGATTTTTGCAGGGAAATGTGTGTGTCAATTCAGCAGTTTCTGTTTTCACTTGTGACTTTCTTAACAGGTGAAACATATGATGCGGTTAACAACAAAAAAAAAAAAAAGTGCACATTTAACTACCAAATACATAACTGGGAACAAATTCCAGCTACTCATTCCCCTTTATCTTTTCCTGACCAGTGCTTAACAAGCTAAGCATGTGATCGAATCTACACGACAGCTTCACCAACCACGTCTTAAAGCACAGTGTTGTAATCAACTAATCATTATAGATAATGAATGAGCCCGAATTGGACGTTTTGGTTATTTGCAAGTCACATGCACCAACCGACCGAATTGGTCACCAACCAAAAATCATTAAGCCACAACAGAAAAGTACTCATCCGACTACGAGATATGAAAAAATAAATGTTATAAAAAGGAAAAAAAAAAAGAAAGGAAAAATTAAATCAAAATGTTAAACATTTCAGAGAGTTATTGCTTTTTTAGAGATTGGATTTACTTAAAGAAAATATATATACGAAAATTCATTGTTAAACTTTGAAATAAATTATATTAAATTGTTTAAATATTATATTTGCTAAATATAAGAAATATATAAAGCTCATTACTCGATCAGTAATTTTAATTCTTAAAAGTAATTATAATCTTGAGCCGCTTAACCTCAACTTTAAAGATGCCTATTTAAAATATTTGCTTTTGAAACAGACTTTTAAACTACATGACTTTAGACACACTTAGATCTAAGCCATCAAAAATAGCTTTACAAGCTTCTGACCCAACGAACCTAGCCTAACTGGTGCTGGCCTATTTTTGCCCCAAGTTGTAACGCTTCAAATGAGTATGAGTATGACTAACCCGAATCCATGGTTCTCGTAGTAAGGTAAGTTGGATAGAAGAGTCTCGTCGACGTCGAATACCCAGGCGTCTCTTCCGTCTCCCGCTAACTTCACACTATTCGCAAACGTGGACGAGAAGTTCGCGATTACATCTAAGTCCGACCGGTAACGCCCGCCGGTCATATAATCCTCCACGAACCGTGTGCATCTTTCCGGTATTCGTTCCCATATACCGGCGTTATTGGTTTCGACGGAGAGTCTCCAGCTGTCGCAATACACACGATCGTCCGCCCTAACCTTCCGACTGCTGAACACGGCTCCTTCCGATGGGAGTTTGATAAACGATTCGGAAGAGATGGGTGTGATAAGACTCATCGTTGAGAAGACTAGCACGAACAGCAGACCGGAACCCATAGCCGGAGGACGGAGGAGGGCAGGAGGCTTACGGAACTCTGGGTTTTTCTGTTCTTCTTTTTTGTTCTTGGGGTCAAAAGAAAACTACTGGAAAAAGAGAGTCAAGATCTGGAAGTACCAGCCACTAGCACGCTGGATGAGAACGAAAATTAAACGTGGCCAGGCAGGCACGTATATGCTAAGAAATGCTCAACAAATTTATTCGCAGATTAGCATCAATATAAAATAAATTATTATTATTATAAAAATATAAGCGTATTTTTAAAAATAAAATATATTATTAATTTTTACTTGTAAATAAGTTTTTTGAGTTATGCTTGAATAATATTCTTTTTTAAATATTAAAAATATGTTATTTTTATTTAAATAAATTAGCATGTACCCCATGCATAATTGTCAAATGAGTCAACAAAATATTTATAAAATAAGAGTAGCATGTATAAGTAGTTAAATTTTTTTATTAACAATTCATGGTAAATTATTTTAAATAAGTCATCACATTAAATATCCATAAATAATGCAAAAGTATTTTGGGTGGTAAATCATTTTTTTTACGTCGCTATTCTACTATCAAGTATTATCACATTATTATTGAAGAAAGTACATCAAATAACACCAATAAAAATTAGTTCAGTTAGTAAATATCTATCCTACAACTTGTAAGATCATTTGGAAGTATTTTCTAAGCTTGAAGACATGCTCTATTTTAATGAGTCTTTAATACTCAACTTACCTCAACTTATGTTATAAAAAAAATACATCAAATAATGATATTATAAAATAAAATTGTCACAAAAGCTAAACATTTTAGAAAATAAATATTATTATTTATGATATTGCATGGAAAATGAAATCATGATATCCTATTAACTTCATATTAGATCAGCTGCATTATTGACTAAAAATTGAAGGTTTAATAGGAATCAAGGATGAATTCATAAATCAATGAAAACTTATCAATAATATAAATAATCTTTATAGCAAAAAAAAATTTATAACTTTGTTTGATATTTGAAATGAAATAGGAACATCAATGGAAATACATACAGATATAATAGTAAGAAATGTGGTCTACACATGCAAGCCATGGAGCACATTAAAATAGAAGCTAACATTTCCTAAACAAAGAAAAGAGTGAATCCTAAACTTCAACTTTAAATTTAGAGTTTGAATACCATCCTCTAATAAAGATCAAAACAACAGCCATGAACCATACAATTACTTAAAAATCACATGCCTTAACAGCATTAACTTTATCAAGTAGTATGTCTAGATGCATCAATAATGTAGCATTAGTGGACCTCAAACTTGAAGGGAAGGATTGCATCATCAACATGTTGAATTGGTGTAGAAATGATATTTAAAGATGAACTCGAACAATAGGAAGTTAGGAGCATGAGGTTGTTATTAGAATAAAAATGAATATGAAATTCTTTTTTAAAAGGAAAAAAATAGAAGGATACGTGTACTTGATAACCATATCTTTCATAATTTGCTGCACAATTTTGGAAGGAGAATTAACTCGATGATCAATAGCACATTGCTCAGGGGATTCGATCAAAAGTGAAGCTTGATTGGTTTGAAATGAGATGAAGCACCCACTAATATGAACATAATGAACTTAACTTGGAATTTATTAAAAGCATAGTATGATATAAACCTTAGCATGCTTGCAATAAACTATCTACTAATTCTTGAATAACTACCCCATGGTGCTTGAATAACTTAGTGGTAACTGCTCTTGAGAATATAAAATTAAAAATACAAATTTGGAAAATTAGAATAATGGAGAGAATTTCGAGATAGGGAAGTCAATTAGAATTTGTTTATGAGTATTGGAATTTAAAATTATGAATAATTTAGCAATATTTTTAAAATTTAAATTTAAAATTATGAGTAAGAAGTTGGAGAGTCCGGATAGTAAAAATATTTTTGGAGATGGGACAGTTACACTTAATTTACTTCTAATTTTTAAATTTTAAATAAAATTTAAAATTTAAAATTATAAATCAACTAACAAAAATTTGGAATATTAAAGAGAGATTCGGGGTGGAATAGTTTTATATTTATTTATATTTGGAAATAAGGGTATAAATGACAACATTCTACTTACCCACGCACGCATATATAATTCATTTAATTTAAAATGTTATTATATTATTCATCATAATAAACAATATATTTATCATTCTTATTTCTATATTGCCACGATCCCTTGATTTATAAAATTAAATGTCCAAAAATAGGGACAAGATTATAGGAAGTTATGATGACGGAATAGTGGAAGAGATAATGAGGAATGAGGAAAAATTGAATTAAGATAAATCCTTTTTTAAATAGAAATTTTGAATTATAAAAATAAGTTAATGAAATTAAATGGAGCTTGTGTGATGCTTTGTTGCAACATTTTGAGAAAAGGACATATGTGGGGTTGGAAATATATTATTTATCATTCTTATTTTTATATTACCATAATCTCTCGGCTTAAAAAATTAAATGCTTATAGGAAGTTATAATGATGGGAGAGTGGGAGAGATAATGAGGGAAGAGTGAGGAAAAAATGAATTTAGATATATCAATTTTTAAAATAAAAATTTGAAATTACAAAGACAAGTTAATAGAATTAAATGGAGTTAATGTGGTGCTATGTTTTTTCAGCATTTTGAAAAAAGAACACATGTCAGGCTTGGAAGGTCACTTGTAGTTCTACTTTTATATATATATATATATATATATATGTACGTACGTATGTATGTATATATAAACTTGAATGTATAAATAATCACCATGTTCTCTAAATTTAATGTGTGTTTAATCTTGCGTTGGAAGTCATAACAAGTTATAGTTTTGATTTGCTTTTAATTCAAGATCATAAATTTGATTATTTTAACATGAAACTAAACACACATTTAATTGTCATAAAAATAAAAGCATTTCTCCGAATTCCCTTATCAAACAATGGGAGATAACTATTCAAGGTGTTGAAATGGTCCAATCATTAAACTAATTAAGGTAATAGTTTAAAGGTTAGTGGTTCAGGTAGGGAGTCAACCCTAAATCAGATCAGTCATAGTTAAAATAACATATTTTGAGTAAATGTATAGAAATATTCATATAAAAGGCCGTAATATTTAAATAAAAGTAATTAATTCTTGAGTAAATGAAAAATAATAATTTATGGACTAAAATCTTATGCATGTCTTATAGAAATAATAATTATAAGTTTATGACAATAATAAAACATAACAACTTTAAAATTATTAATTAAGAAATTTATAATGATTTAGGATTCAATAGTAAAAAAATAAAGGAAACAAAACAAAGAAAATAAAAATAATAAAATTTGACTCAGGTTGGCCGAGTTTGTCCGAGTTAAAGCCGAGTCATAGGTAACTGTGTAACATCCTAGAAAATTTAGCCAACACTTGTTTCAAGAAGAGAGATGAGCATCTCATCACTTACAAAAGTGGAGCCTCAAGGTCGCAGATTGATTTTCTTTTGGTTAGGAACACAGATAGAAAACTTTGTAAAAATTGTAAGGTGATCCCTGGAGATGCTGTAACGACACAACATAGGGTCCTAGTCCTTGATGTGTGTATTATGAGTAAAATCCAAAACGTCGACAAGTAGTAACACCAAAGATTAGGTGGTGGCAATTAAAAGGTGAGAAGCAAGATATTTTCAAGCGAGATCTTTTAGATAAAGGAATTTGGGATTCTCAGGGAAGTGCTAACATCATATGGGAGGATATGGCTAAAAAGATACGGGAGGTTGCAAAAGTAGTTTTGGGAGAATCAAAAGGTTCTGGTCCGAGAGATAAGGAGTCTTGGTGGTGGAATAATAGTGTACAGGACAAAATCAAGTATAAGAAGAACTGTTTTAAAGCCATACATTTGTGTAACAATGAGGAAAATTGGGAGAGGTACCGTATGGCTAAGAAGGAAACTAAGAGAGCTGTGGGTGAAGCTCGTTCCAAAGCTTTTGAAGAATTTTATAAGAACCTTGAGATGAAGGAAGGAGAGCAAAATATTTATAAGATTGCCAAGAGTAGGGAAAGAAAATCAAGAGATCTAGAACAGGTAAGGTGTATTAAGGATGAAGAGGGAAGAATTTTAGTTACAGATGATGAAATTAAAAATAGATGGGAGACTTATTTTTCTAAACTTTTCAATGATGGAGAGGATTCATCTAGTAACTTGGAGGATTTAGTAACTGGTGAAGGAGAACAAAATTTGTCATTCTATCGAAAAATACGTGATAAGGAGGTAAAGGAAGCTCTTAAGAAAATGGCAAATGGTAGAGCTAACGGACCTGATTGTATATCTATCGAAGCGTGGAAATGTTTAGGTGAAGAAGGGGTGAGATGGTTAACTAAGTTATTTAATGTGATTTTACGGTCCAAGAAAATGCCTGATGAGTGGAGGAGAAGTACATTAATTCCTATTTATAAAAATAAAGGAGATATTCAGAATTGTACTAACTATAGAGGGATTAAACTCATGAGCCACACAATGAAATTGTGGGAGAAAGTAATTGAGCACAGGTTGAGATTGGAGACAAGTATTTCTGAGAATCAATTTGGTTTTATGCCAGGTAGATCAACTACAGAGGCAATTTATCTACTAAGGGGATTAATGGAAAAGTATCGTTGTAAAGATAAAGATCTACACATGGTTTTTATTGATTTGGAAAAAGCTTATGACCGTATACCAAGAGAAGTACTTTGGAAAGCGTTGGAAAAAAGGGAGTACGGATTGCTTATATTAAAGCCATACAAGATATGTATGAGGGGGTAAAAACTAGTATAAGAACGCCTAGTGGTCAAACAAAGGATTTTCCTATAAAGATTGGACTACATCAGGGATCATCTCTGAGTCCTTATTTGTTCAACTTGATTTTAAATGTTTTGACGGAACATATTCAAGAGGAAATCTCGAAATGTATGCTCTTCGCGGATGATATAGTTCTTATAGCAGAGACAAGAGAAGAGGTTAATTGCAAACTTGAGTTATGGAGGAGGACATTGGAGTGAAAGGTTTTCGTCTGAGTAGAAGTAAGACGGAATATTTATATTGTAAATTTGGTAAAGGACTATTCGAAAATAATTTGGAAGTGAAATTGGGAGATCAAATTATACCTCAAGTGGAAAAGTTTAGATATTTGGGAGCCATTAT